GCGCTGCCGCCAGGCGGGGGCATGGGCACCGGCGGGGCCGGCAGCCACGCCGCACCCTCCACTCCAGCTGGCCAAAAGCAGCAGCAGCAGCGGGGTCAGGGCGCCAAGGGTGGCGGCCTCTCGGCCGCCGGCGGCGGCTCTGGCCGCCCCCGCGGCGACGGCGGCGGCCGGGCGCCGTCGGGGCCCATGGACCGCTTCCTCTCCCGCAAGACCCCCACGGCTGCGGCTGAGCCAGCGGCGGCAGCCACGGCCGGTATGCCGCAGCCAGGCGGGCTGCCGGAGGGGCGCGCGGAGCGACATCGGGCGCTCAGCAGAGGCGGCAGCGAGGGGGAGGAGGGAGAGGGAGAGGGAGAGGAGGTGGTGGTGCTGGACGGCTCATGGTCGCCGCCCAACAGGGTGACACATCGGGTGGACAGGGGCATCCCCGCGCAGCTGGGGAGCGCGGCGGGCGCGTCGCAGCCAATAGAGCTTGATGGAAGCAGCGGCGGCGAGGAGCAGGGAGGCGGCGAGGGGGAGGACGAAGGGGAGCGGGATGCTGGACGGCCCCTGCAGCGCCAGAGTGTGCACCGGCTGGGTACAGCCGGGCGCAGCAGTCGAGACGTGAGCGACGCGGGCCCCACGTCCTCGGGGGGCCAGCGCCCGGCGCAGCAGCTGGACAGCGCTAGACAAGCAGTCCTGGGTGGGGCTCGTCCAACGCATCGCCCGGCGGCCAAAGTGGCGGCGTCGTCAGCAGCTGCCCCCGGCTCCCCCGAAGCGCTCCCGCTCATGGAGCGCCTCCGCCGCAGCAGAATGGCAGCGGCGGTCGGCGGGGCCACGGCGGCGGTCCCAAGGGCCCACGACCCAGATCAGCTGGCGGGGCAGCCAGCGCCGGCGCGCTCAAACCGATTCAAGACCGCGCGCGGCCCAACAGCCGCCGCAGCCAGCGGCTGCGCTGCCGCACCAGGGGCAGCAGCGGACAGAGTTGTGCTGGCATCGCCACCAAAGAAGGCGTGTACGCCAGACGCCAAGCAGCGCGCGGCACAGCGGCAGCCCTCGCCCCCGTCTGCAGCCGTGGCGCACCGGGCGCCGGCGCCGGGCCCGGCAGACGTGCGGCAGCAGTACGCAGAGCTACTGCAGGGCTGCGACAGCGACTGCAGGGGCGGCGGCGGCTGCGGCAGCAGTGGGGACGGTCCAGACGGGGGCGCAACGGGCGTGTCGGCGCCGTGGCGGCAGCAGCGGCCCCGCCAGCGGCAGCTTTTCAAGTCGTCCACGCGCTCGGGCGCTCGGACTGGGGCGGGGCCGGCGGCCCAGGAGCGCGAGGTGATAGACCTGTCTGATCTGTGACCTGGGGCTGGTGCTGAGCTTGAGCTTGCCAGCGAACTGGGCTCAACAGTCGACTGCAAATGCGGACAAATGCAAGTGTATGTAGCAGAAGCTATTTCCGTGCAGCCACGTGCCAATCATTTCAAGTTGGCCCCAAAGTTGCCCTCCCGCCCCTGTGATGCGGCCCCAGCGGAGGCATGGCAAGTTGACACGGCTCTTTGTTGAGCACGCTCTCCCGCCTGCCCTTTCCGTTCTGCACATCGATGTCATCATTACCGTACACCACTGCACCCTTTGTCACTGCAAGCCCAATATTATGGCACTGAGTGGAACTCTGTTTACACGTAATGGAAAAAAACAAGTAAGATACCTCCGTGACGTGCGTATCACAAAGGTGCACGCGCGTCCAAGCATGGTGAACAAGGTGCACAGTGGTGTGCCAGGGCGGATCCCAGGATAGGCCAGCAGCAGGTTGTATGTGTGTTGCTGATTGTTGAGGCGGGGCCGGTGGGCAAGGGCCAGCCGCCGCTGTTGCGCTGTCTGCACGCGGTGCAAAGGTGCATACTGCTGGTCGCAGAAACGGGTGCGGCTGTGCTGGGTGTGTGCATAGGTGTGTCGCTGCTGCTGCGATACTTTGCAACATGGCGCCAGTGGCCAGCAGCACGCCGCAGAGGCGTGCCGCTCAGATCAGGTTTGTATAGAGCTTGTGTGGGCAGCATTTAGGGCGCGAGATAGCTGCCAGCTGGCAGCAGCGTGAGCTGCGCGCCATCCAGTCAAATCAGGCGGCGGCGAAAGGGCCGCATTGCCAAGGGGCACGCCTTGAAAGGCAGGGCATGCCAGCACGTGGAGGCTTGCATGCCCGCCCGCTTTGCTGCGTGGCTTCGTGTGCCAGCGGCCCGTGGGGGCGATCAGACCTTGTTGGGGAAGATGCTGACGGCGTTGGACGAGATACGCGTCGTGAAGTGGTTGCGGATGCTGCCGCGCCAGCCCTCGCCGCGCTTCTCGGCGGTCTCGTCGTCCTGAATGCTGATGCCCACGCGGGCCTTGGAGCTGCAAGGGATGTCGCGTTGGGCGGCGGGGCGGGGGATGGTGACGGCGCTGCGCACACTACAGAGGGGGAAAGCAGCTCAATGGCTGGCGCGCTTTTCTTGCGCATGTGGCATATGCAGACCACTGTCCCCGTTACTCCAGTCCCGGGGACTCACTGGCCATCAGGGTCGCTGACAATGGTGCGGGTCATCATCCAACCAAAGAGGCCAGCAGCCAGAGCCACGGGGCCCACAACCTAGCGCCGGTGCAGGGGCGCAATATGAGAGAGGCGTCAGCGGGATGTGCTGCGCTTCGATTCGCCTTCCTGCTAGACCTGCAGCACGCGTCAGCCCTGAAGGCAGCTCCAGGGAGACGAAAGGCCGTGACATTAAACACATACAGAGATAGAGCGCCTCATAAACACAGCGCAGTTGCTCCCCGGCGTGGGAGCCTGCGAGTCCACCAGTGGCTGCTGCTGGCACACGCCGAGTCGCCGAGACATCAACATAATAAGCAAGAAACACTGGCACAACGACCCCGGGGCACGGCCCAGCCTTTCCACACACGGCAGGGAAACACCAGCCAGCTTCGAACGGAATCACGCACCGGCATAACCTCAATAGGCAGGAACTTCGCGAGAGTGGAGCGAGCCGCCATGGTGTGGGTTCTTAGCTCAGGGGCGACAAGGGCTCGAAGCAGGTCCGGGTTCAGGGCAAGCAAAATATGCTGCTGATTGGTGACAAATAGAACAATTCAAGCACTAATTATCCCAAGTTGGACGGGGGAGTTGAGGCTTTCGAGATAGCACTCGTCATTTGGTGGCAGCTGCGTGGGCGAATTCGCAGCTACGGAGCGTGGCGGTCGGCTACGGGCACCGTGACGTAATTTAGTCGTCACTATGACTTTTTAACATAAAAATTGCTGTGGCGCTGGTGCGGATCACTTCAGGCGGGGTGCGAGTTGGTTGCGAACATGGCGCTGGCGGTTGTGCAGAAGAAGCTGCTCCAGGATTGTGGGAATGCAGCCCGCCATGTCGCCAGGGCAAGGTGAGCCTCTTTATCGTAGTTTCGTATCAACTGCTTATGAAGCCCTGCCACCTTTGTCGTCGTGACAATCAGTTACATGACTGGGCTCGATTGTTCAAACGTGCATGTCCACGTCTGCTGAAAAAACCTGTGTTTCTGGGTGCTTGTCAGCTCCTGGTACTTGCTCCCCCATCATACGAACTCTCGTGCTATGCCCCAACGCATCTCTACGGCCTCCGCAAGGCAGACCGTGCCCTATGGTCACAAACGCGCTTTGGCCTCGAACACACGCGACCGGGCGCACATCTGCCGCCTCAGCGCCGCCCCACGACAGCGTGCACCGGAGCCTGTGCCACCACGCCTCCACCGCCCGCTGCCCGCACCACCACCACGCCCCGGCTCAGCCCCGAGGCCGAGTCCACCGCCAGCGCCGCGCGCCACAGGTCTGGCACCGCCACCCAGGAGGCCGGATACCTGTAGCGCGCGACGTCCATCACCAAAGCCCTGTCTGTCAGCTGGCTGTACGCCGCGACCGGCGAGATGTGGCCGCCGCCCTGCTGCCCCACTTCAGGACGGTTGTAGTTGACCAGCAGGCGGTCGCTGGGTGACGCCACGTTGGTGCGGAGCAGCTTGCGGAAGGCGTCCAGGGGCAGGTCTGACGCGTGCGTCGCCTGGGCAGACACATTGTTGTGGGATGAGAGCAGCGCCGAGAGCTGCGCGAGCGTCATGCCGCCCTTCTTGACGTCGTCCGCCGTCATGATGGCGCGCGTCGCGCTGCTGTTGAAGACTGCAGCGGGTGCAGGCGCAGGTGGTGGGGCGTGAAAAAGCGATGCCAGCCTCAGGAAGGGGGTTGATTTTTCAAAAACCATGCATTCATCCGTAATGCAATATGACGTCATTTGGCTGACCCAAGGCTGTGGCAGCCTCAGCGCCCTGCTGGTGCATCGGCCATGCCAGATCCGCATGCAATGCGGCCCATGGGGTGTCGACACAGCGCGCCCTCCCTTGCATCCGCGCAGGCGCCGCCTCACAGTTGATCTGGCTCCAATAGTGGTATGGGCCTACGCCCTCTGCAATAGGCGCCGCTACCCCCAGGCTGTTGAGCGCCATGACCGCGCTCGCCACGCCGCAGTACGCAAGGTTCTCCTGTGTCAGGAAAGCCTGCGCGAGCGGCCCAAAGTCGGCCGCCTGCCAGCTGGTCGCCAGCAGCGCCTGGCCCAGCGGTGTGGCCAGTGGGATCAGCGGTGAAGGGGTGGCATTCGATGCCGTTGCTGGCGCGGGCGCGCCCCGGGCGCCCGTGGCTCCCGCGAGTGCCAGGAGCAGCACCAGACATGCTGCCGTGCCACAGGCCATGGCCACGCCGCCGTTGGGTGCTCGTGCCATCCCTTCGACGGCAATCCTGCAGTGGCATTGGCGGAGCGGCAAAGTGAGCCCATGCGCAAATGCCCAGGTCGACGCACCCACGCGGCGTTCCCGCTCGCGCTGCGCCCGCTGGCGTGCTCCCTGCTTGTGCTACTCACCACTTAAGCTGCACCCACCCAAACTAACCAATATGATTGCGTGACAAAGCCTCAAAATAAGCCCTGGTGTATGCTCCTCCACGCAATGCGTATGATCATGAGATTACTCGACGGCAGACAGCCCGCCAAATCAATCAATTGAACGTTCCTGTACATGTAAGTTGCAGCATCGACGCGAGATCTCTATGCAGTGTGCCTCGCGGCCGACATTGGTCAAAGACTCATCCACCCAAGCGGGGACAGAATTTTTGGGTGTGTGGTGCGGCGTGCTGGCGGTGGAGACCTGCAGGAGTGAGCGAGTGCAATGTGCACGGTACGTGCACCTCCCGCTTCAATGAGGCCCCACTCATCGCGTTGACACTGCAATGCAGACCTGCCATTCCTGCCATCCCTGGGTTGCGATGTGAGCCTCGAGCTGCGCCCTCCTGCACGCTGCCCACCACGCACTTGTATTGCCGCGGCGCTCGAGGGCTATGCTGTGTGTCGCTGCATCCTGGCATGGCTCATAGTGCTTGCGGGGTGTGCACAACCTGTCAATTGCTGTGGATACACTGCCCTGTGCACAGCGTGTGATTGCACAGCATGTCATCATCCGCAACACGCCTGCAGACTTTCTTTGAGACACGACTGACGAATATCGCCTCATGTATCAAAGTCTGCCTGCATGGAGGTTTCATTAAGATGCGCTCTGTGTGTGGGATTGCTCATTGTATGAAATCCGTTCCATAATGACACTGATGCTGGCTATCTTGCTACAGCACAAACTTGCGGCACGCTGTACGTTCTCTGCCACGCACCATACCAGGAAAATGTCTTACCCTGTTTAACTTAGTGGCTGATTTTGACAATCTGCATGACTCAAGGATGCTGTCTGCTGGCCACGGAAGGGCAAGCAAACATGGCTCTGGCCCAGGCCAAGTCAGCTATGGCTAACGGCAGTTAACACGTTGGTGGCGCAGACCAGAAGCATCCAGACGACCAATACCCTGCAAAGTTGGCGCGAGATCACCAAAAGTCTGCACAGGTGGCTCAGGTGGAAACCAGCTTCTGCGCACCTGCTGATGGCGGCACCAGCACTGCCCAGAGCAAAACCAAAGTTTAAACTGAAACAAACAAATCGCGACTGTGTGCAGGAGGCATAAACGGGCCAACAATACAAGCAGCCAAGGACCAAACAGTAAATTCTGCATATTGCAATGAAATGGGCTGGGCGGAGGTCACACCACAGGGTGAGCTGCGCTCTGCTCCTTGCTGATGCCCTCCCAAGTTGTGGTGTCGGCGGAGGCTGTCAGCGTCACCTCATGCGCGCAATGCGCCTGCCCTGTGACATGCTGCGATGGCCGTAAAGTGCGCGCTCGCCTGTGGTGGGAGGGGGAGGGTGCACAAAAAAGGGGCAGGATTGTAGCACAAAGAACGCCGCAACTATCGATCGTCACACATCGTGGTCTTACAGACGCAAGAATGCTTGCGCCCCGCAACCCTTGGTGTGTTGTATCACACCTGTCACTGATGGGGTGCTGCCGCTGCTGCTGCCGCCGCCCAGGCCTGGCAAGCGTGCCTGAAAATGAATAAGAATTGGAAGTTTACAAAGACATCAGCAAGTTTTGATGCCATCATCACGCAAGCCGATTAGGGTGAATGCATTTTTGGGTTTGCGCATGCGGCGGACTCAACGCGGAGTGCCAGGTTCGAGCGCGCGTTCGAAGCGTGGCCGCCGCGCCGCTGCCGCACCTGGGCCAGCCTTGAATCATTCGCAGAGGCCCTTGAGCCCATAATAAGCCCATTCTGTGCGGTAGGGCAGGGCCGATTAGCGATGCCAACTCGAGTTTGAGTTGCGCCCGCGGGGGCAGGTCCAGTCACGAGCAGCTTTGGCTTACGTGGTAAGGAAAAAGGTGCGTGATGTCCATCAAGGGCACCCGGACGCCTGCTGACGAGCTGCTGTGGTGCTGAGATGGCTTCGATCTTTGCAGGCCGGGGTTGCTGCTGCATATCGCCCTGCTGCAGCCTCCGGCGGAACTCATGGGATCAAGCAGATTCTCCTTGTCCATTTAAGCGCTACTTGGCAGCGAACAGAGCTGTGTGCAGAGCGCGACCGGAGGTCAAGGCCCCAAGCTGCACTCCCTCTTACGAGCGCTGTGAGCGTGACTAAGGTATAAGGTTGATGTGAATTGAAACGTTTAACGTTTTACACCCCGCTGCTGGCCCGTCTGGTGCGCGATCACCAGCGGGCAGCGGCGATTCAAAAGCGGGTGCTGAAAGTGAGTGGGCCCAGAACTCGCGCCTGAATGCTCTCGTCGGGATCGAGTCGCCGATATCAGTGATAGAACGACATTTAAAGCATGTTGATGACACCACGGTGCCGTTACGTCGGCTCTTCTACGAGTTAGCCCTCGACGTCAGCAAGGTTTGACGCCGATTCACGGGGCTGGCAAGGGGCCCTGGCGTACCAAAGCCATATGCTTACGAATCCGTAGCAACGAATATATTTATACGGGCCCACTGTGTGCATGAGGGCGCCTAAATGTGCGTCGTTGGTGAGTGACCCAAGTGACATCACATCTCGCTGCGCAGGCAAGGATGGGGCCCTTTGTTCCTCACCACTGCAGGTGCGTAGATCTCAAATAATTCCCGCATGGTTACAGCTGTTTCGATCAGAACCACTAGGCGCCAGAAAAGGACAGCGCAGTCAAGCTGGAACATCGCTTGCAGCACAGCCTTCAAGCTCGTTCTTAAGTGATCTGTTCTCTGTTGCACCTGGATCTTAGCCTCACCATGCACGATCGAGCGGTGCAGCACCAAACGTTCACCCCTTAACAGCAGGCAAGGCTGTGCGGTAGCTGGCAGCTGCATTGTCAGCCATCAGCTGCACTGGCAGCAAAACACGATGACAACGGTCCCTCAGCAAAGCCTCAGAAAATGCTCGACTCATGTGCGTACACAACGTATGCGGCAACTCCGCTCAAACTCCCGGCGGGCATGTCACATGCTGCCCACTTCCTCGAAGAATGCAATTGTGTCCTTGAGGGCGGCTATGAATGCATCCACGTCCGCGCGAGTGGTGTACACCGAGCAGCTTGCCCGTGCGCTTGCAGGCACACCCAGGAACCGGTGCAGCGGCTGCGTGCAGTGGTGGCCAGACCGCACAGCGACGCCGGCGTTGTCCAGCAGCGTCGACACGTCCGTCGCGTGGAGGCCCTCGACATTGAAGGCAGCGAGGGCGGCGCGGCCGCGGGGGGCAGTTGGGGGCGGGCCGTAGATGGTGACCTTGGGGACGGCAGCCAGCTGGTTGTACAGGTATGTGCCAATGTCGTCCTCATAGGCGTGCACCTGCGCAAAGGGCAGGCATGGGTGGTGGTACAAGGGCAGTTTGGTGATTGGTTTTCTGATGAATGTTGACGTTGGTGCAGGAGGAGAACCGGCAAGCGGCGGAAGACATGCCAGAGCGCAGGGGACCGTCATGCGTGGCTGGACGCAGGACTACCTCCCAACTGCCGAGGCTTGATCCAGACAAACTCTCCCCAGCTTCAAGCGCAACATGGGCCCCACCGTGTCCATGCCAATGCTGCTCAGGTAGTCGCAGGCCGCGCCCAGGCCGATGGCCTCCGCAATGGCGGGCGTGCCGGCCTCGAAGCGCATGGGCGGCGCGGCGTAGGTGGAGTGGTCCAAGAAAACATCCTGGATCATCTCGCCGCCGCCCATCCACGGGGGCATGGACTCCAGAAGGTCATACCTGAAGCAGGGACACCCGCGTTTCAGAGGTGGGGGAGGTGCATCAAGCCAACACGCGCCTGGATGCCGGCCCTCGTACCAATATCCTCGGCTGCCCCGATTAGGCCGGTGCCGGCCAAGAGGGGCCAAGCACCTTTGGCACCAGCTGCCGCCACTGACCACCGCCGCCCCCGGCCGGCCGCGCACCCACCTGCCCCAAAGGAAGCCGATGCCGGTGGGCCCCATCATCTTGTGGGAGCTCGCCACGATCCAGTCGGCGCCCAGCGTCTGGACGTCGACCGGCATGTGGGGCACGCTCTGGCAGGCGTCCAGCAGCACCTTGGCGCCCACTGACCGCGCCGCGGCGACGACGGCCGGGACGTCCAGAACGCATCCAAGGGTGTTGGAAACGTGAGGGAGCGAGATCAGCTTGGTGCGGGAGTTCACCATCGACTTGAGTTGCTGCAGGAGACAGTGTGGCGAGAAGGGGGACAGGGCACGGAATGGAAGGGGTCCAGGCAACGAAGGCATAGGCGCCTCCGCCGCAGCTGGATTATGGGCGGTGTGGTCACGGCTTCCACAAATGCAATTGCTGCTTGTTGTGTGTGCCGCTGCCCAACACTCATTATAATTTGCTGTGCAATGCACGCATGCCGCTGCAAATGCACGTGCCTCCGGCCACAGCAAAAGGAGGCGGCTGCGCTGTGTTGCCGCCAGCTGCCACGCTCCGCCTACCTCCACATCCAGCTCCTGCTGCGCAGTCAGCCCGATGTGTTTGAGCACCGCGCCTGTCCGCTCCGCCACCAACTGCCATGGCACCAGGTTGCTGTGGTGCTCTGCCACCGACAAGATGATCTGCCATACGAACAGGAAGTCAGTGCGGCGCAGCACAGTTGCAGGGCAGAATGCCTACACCGTCCTGTGGCCCAGCCTGCCAGGCCAAGTGAATGACTGAGCGTCCACTTGCCTTCCAAACAACAGCAGCATGCATCAAAGCCAGTGTGCTAGCGCCGCTGACGCGGCTGACCGTCAACTCCACACAGTGCCTCGCAGAGTCTGCCCTTGCTTGGACTGCTGCCTTCCACTGCCCGCACCTCGTCCCCCGCTTTGAGGTTGTTGAGGCCCCAGGTGTACGCCACCAAGTTGATTGCCTCGCTTGCGTTGCGAGTGAACACGATTTCGCGGTCCGTCGCGGCGTTGACGAACGCGGCGACCTTGTGGCGCGCCGCCTCGTACGCGTCGGTCGCGCGCGCGCTGAGCGAGTGCACGCCGCGGTGCACATTGGAGTTGTACTCCTCATAGTAGGCGTTCATGGCGTCCAGCACAGCGCGCGGCTTCTGGGAAGTCGCGGCGTTGTCGAGGTAAACCAGGTCATGGCCATGCACGAGCTGGTGCAGCACCGGCACTTCTGCGCGCACGCGCTCGCCAAGCTCCAGCAGCTGCTGCGACGAAGGGGCCTCCACTGCCTGAGTTGCGAACACGGCGTGAGAGTTTTATGCGCTTTTTGATTGCCAGGGCTGCCTTCAAGAGCCCGAGTCGCACTGCAATGGATCCCGCATGACGAAGCTCACCGCTGCGTGATTGCGCAATCCACGGCGTCCCTTAACCCTCCGCGACGTCACCACATATTGCACAGACGGCTGGGATGTGCTGGCGGGGCCCAGGGCCGCCCTGCTGCTTGGGAGGGAGTATGATGAGTGCATCGCGCAATTTACAGGAGGCGTTTGCTCGCAAACGTATCAGTGCGCGTTATGTGCTACCTCAGCACTTCGAATCAATCCTGCGCATGTGTCCGCGGCGTCGACCGCTCAAGTGCCGGTGGTTGTGACCATCACGGCACGGCCAGGGCACGGGCAAAGCGCACAACAGCCGCCGCGGCCACGGACTGGTTGGGATTCGACAGACCAAGTGATTGGTAGCACGGAGGTTCCAACATGCACGCGCATACTGCACTTGCACACCATGCGGCAGTTGGATGCGGATTCTGGAGGCAAAAAATTACATTCACAAGCAAACCACACTGTTTGCACACACGCAGTAAGTGAGTGTACATCGTTGGCGCTCATCAGCATGCTAATTAAACCGCATGTGACATTCATTGCTAATCCCCACAATCGCAGCCATACGGGCCCTGGAACACGACAAGAAACAAGGGTGCGACTACCAAAACACGCTCACTGCGCAAGCACAGCGCGTCATCTCAGCGCTGTCGCTTTTGCACAGCATGATCACACATACCCTCGCCCATGGACCCCTCATACTTGCAGCTTGTACAGCTCTATGTGCTCCACCTGATAGCACTTTGGCAGTGCAGATTTGGACAGCCGCTCCACGCGTGAGAACTCGCGCCCCGACTCGCGCAAGAACACCTCCTTCACTTGGGAGCTGCGCAGCTCGAATGACACCAGGCAGACTGTCTGGGGGCCACAAAGGCCTGCCGCGCGTGGGTTGTCATTTGTGCGGGAATCACCGTGGTTGCAGTCGCTGCAGTTGGGCCCGCATGGCAGGCAGCCAGCTGGACGGCATGGCACCTGCCGCATCTGGCTCTCGGACCCGCCAACCCACCTTTGCATGTCTGCACAAAATGCTCAGTGCTGGGGCTCTGCCCATCTTGGTCAACTGTGGGGGTAAGCAGGGTTGGCGGCAGGTCAACGCCAGCCTTGGGCAGCAGTGAGTGGCCCCAGCCAACAGGCCCGCACCGCCTGCCGAGCACATTATGGCACGGCAGCTGATACGCCCCATGCGCCCTGACGCACCGTATGTCACGTCAGCAGCCAGCACCAGGTCCACTGGCGTTGACGCGAGTGCCGCCACGCGCCCCATGTAGCCCTCCCTGCCCCACTCAAGCTCCTCGGCCATCGCGCTGCGAGGAGTTGCGAGGATGGTGGCAGGGGTGCTGCGTGCACAATGAAAGGGGTTGCTGACATGAACGGGTTGTCATCGTACTGATGAACCCAGATATTAGCCTTGCTCCAGCACCCGGCAGGGTTGGGTAGAGGGCAAGGGGTTTGTCAAGAGCTGCCCAACATGGGCCCCCACCCCCAGACCTGCCGCCGCAATGCTTGCTTGTGCCAGGCGTCGAAGGGAGGCCGTTGAGCTCAATGTTTTCCTGAATAAGGGGCAGCACCACATCCTTATCGGTGATGACCACCTGTAAGAGTGTGCAGCAGTTGATCGCAGTGAATTAGAGGCTCTGAAGTTTGTTTTGGGGTCAGAAACAGGGGCCTCGGGCACTTATGTCAGCCTCCGTCCCTTCCAGATCCCGCCACTCACCTGCGCTCCCAGCATTGCCAGCATGAGGCCGGCCAGTCCGGGCCCTGAGCCGAGCTCGACCGCCCGCTGCCCGATGTACCGGTGGCGCGGCTGGGCGGCTGCAGCTCGAGCGCGCGGCGAGGAAGGAGTAGTGGGTTTAGGGCAAATGTGAACAAAGTGAAACACTTGACAGCAATGCTCAGCCTAAACAGCCAGTGTGGGTCACCTAAACTCAATTTCGAGGGCATGTTGCTGACGCTCTGAACCAGAACCAAGGGCACAGTTGTGTATCCAGACTGCCCAAGTCAAATCCGCTCACCAAGATATGCAGCCAGCAGCAGCTCGCCCTCCCACAGACAGGCCCCCACGCCCATGCGCGTCGCCGGGATGTCCCGCGGCTGCATGAAGCGCCGAGGGTCGCAGGGTCGGGCGCGCGCAAGGGGCTGGTGTACGGGTACTTTGCTTTAAAAACCCGTCTGCTGCCGCGCTGCCCTTGGCCCCATCCTTTGCAAATCCTTTGCACCTGACCGCCAGTCACCTGGCTAAACCCGCATATGTGGCTGCAGCCAACTCCTTGGCTGCTGCCGCCAGCACGATTAGCCCCCGCACGTTGCAGAACGTGCGCTGAGCGCGCACCTTTTGCTTGACCATCACAGTCATGCCATCATCTAGCTCGACATCAATCTGGTCAGCAGCATGCATTGTCCCTGTGACAGCGGAAGCTCGGCGTCACAAGTGAGAGTTCACGGTGCGTAGGATCGCGCCGCAAGCCTCGTGAAACCTGCCCAGGCAATTCGGCAGCTGTGCTCACATCTGTCAGGCTCTTGCAACGTCCTTTCGACTGGTTCTCCGTCTTCCCATCTGCATGTACCAGGTGCGTACAGCGCCCGATAAGTACGGGAGCGCCGACGCGACAGCTGACGCACGCCAACAGCCTTGCATTCAGCAGCACGAGCAGCGACGGCAAGCGGCGCAGCAGGGAGCGGCGCACCCCTTGACGTGCAGGAGCATGGTGCAACAAGCCGTGCTACAAGCATGCAACAAACGAAGGAGACAATTGGCACATTTGCCTTCTACAGTATCAGAATTAATCCAGTGGCAGGCAAGGCGTCGCGGTGTCACTGCCCTCGAGACGGTGTGTGAGCGAGATCGATGAGCTACATCGCCGCGTAAATTCACTGTTTTGATGGACTGTCCCATGCGTTTGCAGGATCCGACTTAGACACCGTACTCCTGTGTGGCCTTCCACCGTGCAATCCAAGATTTATAAGTTGTTCGCGGTCCTGCCGTTGTTGTGCTGCACTTGAGTACTCTTGAAACATGCAGGCGCTCTCTGGACGGTGGGGCGGCCAGTGCTTGCGAGCCCCAAGTGTTGCTCATGAACGGCGCACTGGCGCACCATCACGGCACCACGCCCCCGTCAGCAGCAGCAGCAGCAGCAGCAGCAGCAGCAATGCACCCAGCAGCAGCAGTAGCGGCACTCCAATCGCTCACGCTGCCCTTGCAAGCAGCCGTGCGCATCGGTGCCGCCATCACCGCCGCGCCGCCCGCCAGACTGTCGTCGTCGCTGTAGCCGCGGTCGAGGCGCCCGCCGCCGAGCGCCTCGCGGCCGTCTCCCAGCTCCAGTCCTGGCTGCAGTCCGCCAAGGGCATGGCCGCGCCGCTCGTGGAGCCCAAGCGCTTCAAGGCCGGCCCCTCGAGCAGCGAGCGCGTCGGGTTCATCGCCTCGCGCGACGTCGATGCGGGCGCGCCGCTGCTCGTCATCCCCGAATCCGTCGCCATCACCTCCATCGACGCGGAGAACCACCCGGTGGTCGGCGAAGCCGCGAAGGGCGGCGGCGAGCTGGTCGGGCTGGCGCTGTGGCTCATGGCGGAGCGCGCGGCGGGCGGCGCGTCGCCGTATGCGCCGCTGCTGGCGGCGCTGCCTGAGTCGACGGATTCGCCGATCCTGTGGGACGATAAGGAGCGCGCGGAGCAGCTGCAGGTGGGGCTTTGTGCTTTCGCGCGCACGCGCTGTGGCTTTCAAGCTGGGCCGCAAATTTGCTGCAAGCCGCGATGATACGTAAGTGTTGCCTTTAGCCATGTGTGCGGGCTGGTGGTGTTGGCTCGGGGGCGCCCTACAACATCGCGCACGCACACACGCGTGCACGAGGCACGCCTGGCCACGCGGCAGCGCACGCATCCCAGGGCTGCGGCGGCTACCTGGGCCTGAGAACGGTGACCAGCGTGCGCATCACCCTGCAGCGGACCCAAACCGCCCCGCCTCCTGCCCTCCCCACCCACCCCCCTGGAAACCAGGGCTCCCCGGTCCTGGAGGAGGCGCGCTCCCGCCAGGCCGCGCTCCAGCAGCAGTGGGCGCAGCTGGCGGAGGCCTTCTTCAGCAAGGACCCCGCACGCTTCGACCCAGCCACATTCAACGAGGCCGCGTTCCTGCGCGCCTTCTGCGTCGTGCTCGCCCACGCCAGCTACCTGCCGTCCGCCGAGCTCTTCGCGCTGCTGCCGCTGGCGGGGCAGCTGGGGCGCACAGGGAACGAGAACGGGTGCGACCTGGACTACGACGCTGGCAGCGGCGCGGTGGTGCTCAAGTCGGCGCGGCCCTACAGGTGGGTGCCGGGCGGCCATGGATGATTGGGGCGGCGGGGGGTGCATACGGCGCATCAGCGATGCGAGTGCCGTGCTTGTAGATGGGGGCCTGGCAAAAGCCCTTCGGCATGCTTGCAGCTGGATGGAGCGGCGGGTCTGGCGTGGGATGGCTGTGCTGGATGCTAGCCGCGGCCGCGTGCTGCTTGGCCGCGGCTGCTTCGTGTGTTCGAGCCCTCGAGCTCTCAAAGTGGCGACCGGCGGCCCCACTCAACCTCCGCAGGGAGGGCCAGGAGGTGCTGCTGAACGACGGGCGGCCCAACGGCGAGCTGCTGCTGTGCTTTGGCACAGTGCAGGACAACAACCTGTCAGACTTCCTGCTGTTCAACGCCTCCCTTGTTCGGGCCGACAAGTAGGCTCCAATGGATTTTGGGGGGGAGGCACGCTAGGCGGCTGGCTTGTCGCTGCGTGCATGCGTCTGCCCTTGCACTTGCACATGTACGAGCTCCAGATTGCATCCAGCTACGTTTTTAGAGATACATGGCACACACCAAGAAAGCACACGCACGCGCGCACACACACAAACAAACACACGCACGCGCACACACACACAAACACACACACACACACACACACACACACTCTCTTACGCACACACTCGTTCCCCGCACGCACACACACACACACACACACTCTCACGCACTCACTCTTTCCCACGCACGCACTTGCACACCCACCTCAGGTACTACCAGTCAAAGCAGCAGCTGTTGCAGGCAATGGGCATGAGCTCAGAGGAGCGCTTCCCCGTCTATGCAGACAAATTCCCCATCCAGCTGCTTGCATACCTGCGCCTTTCACGGATCCAGGTAGGCCATGCTATCCCTCGGGCCTGCTCTGAGGCCGCGGGGGCTGGCCTGGAGGGGTCAAGGGAGCGGTCAAGGGAGCATTGCCAGTGCCAGGGGCTTTTGGGGAGCCCACTCACTTGTTGGCAATGCTTGTGGAATGAGAGCTTGAGACACTGTGCGAGCAAGCAGTTCTCAGTGCCTGCGTTACTCAGTCTCACACACTGCTGAAGTTTGAATGAAGCGCGTGACGCGCACCCCTGGGCTTGTTCCTGATCTTGTCGCTCCCCTTCACCTCCAAACCTGCCCCAGGACCCCGCCCTGTTTGCCAAGGCGTCCTTTGACAGCGACGTGGTGGTCACCCAGATGAACGAGTACGAGGTGCTGCAGCTGCTGATGGGCGACTGCAGGGAGAGGCTGGCGGCCTACAAGACCAGCATGGAGGAGGAGATCAAGGCGCTGCAGGTGTGGCACGGGGCCGGCTGGGGTCGTTTCCTGGGCTTGATGGGTGGATGAGTGCTATGCCCAAGGCACGCCCGCAGAGCCGTTTGACTGGATGTCTGGGCCGCTGCTGAAGGCCTCAGAGGAGGTAGCTGCCCCTTGATGACAGTGCTGCCCTTTGTGCCGCCCTCCCACTCCCCAGAACGTCTTGAGTCCAACGGTCAACTGATCCATCCCTCACACAACCCCACGCAGAGCCCCGACCTCAGCGGCACCGCGCGCCTGGCCGCGCGCCTGCGCATGGGCGAGAAGCGCATCCTGTCGCAGTTCATGGACGCCGTCCGCCGCAAGCTCGCGCCCGTGCGCGGCATCCCCACCAAGGGCGGCGGCATGCAGGACCCCAACGCGGACCTTAAAGAGATCTTCGACACGATAGAGGCCATCCCCCAGGCGCCCGCCAAGCTGTTCGACGGCATCCGCCGCTGGGCGCGCGGGGAGTTTGACCCGGACTGGAACAAGTAGACGCTGTTGTGGACCCGCAACGCATACGGTCTGCATTTTGTCGCCGCGTTTCGTTTTGCCGCTGGCGCGGCGCCGCGTGGTGTAAGCTGTGCCCAGGTTGTTGCTCGTCGCATGCTGACGGGATGCGCAGCGGCCGGGCGGCAGGGGATGCGGGCGCGGTCGGCTTCCGTGTGGTCGGCACATTGACAGCTGCAGACTGTGCAATGTCACAAGGCCAAGCGCAAGCCTGCAATCCTTGGAGGCTACGTGTTTACAAGGTCGACAGCTGGGCCATACATTCATACATGTCAAGTATCATGCGCTTGTTGTAAAAGCCTCATGAGCTAACTGTTGAGATTTGTCAGTCGTCCCAGACTTGTGCTCGTATGCACGTTCCCGCCCTCACTGTTGCGTGCCATGTAAAATGATGGCCAGCCAGCGCCACCAAGCGCCACCGCATGACGCCATGGCGCAAGCTCACCCTGGCGGCGCAAATTGCGGAGTGGGGGCTGCAGGCAACTGCGCTTAGCTGCAAGCTAGCCCATGGGGACTCGACCCGATCGCTCATTAAACATCGGCCTATCCTTATGATTGTGCGTTTCGGCCTATCCTTACGATTGTGCGTTTCGCCTTTTCCTACCCGCTGCGGTGGCCCTGAGCCAGCCCAACAGGTGTTCCATCTGCGCCGGCTGCCCCCTCGCCGCCGCCGCCGCCGCCCTGGGTCCGGTCCTGGGCATAGAAATCGGATCCCTTCAGGGCTTGATACGCCAGCCGCTGGTTCCCTGCTCAACCTGCGTTCCCTAGAGAGCCTTCGCCTGGGAAAACGAAGGGCCTGTTGTTGCAGCAGCTGCTCTGCACCAGCTCAGCACGGTCCTCCGTGCACCCCTCCAGCAGCGTCCGTCATGCCAGCAGGTTGCCACCTCACGACCATCTGCTTGCTTTTAGATTTTGAGAAGTTTACCAGTGCGCACAACCTACTTCCCATTGAACGGCTCTCATACCGCACTCCAGCCCCTCGGCTTATCGTAGCTTAGTAACTTCCTTCGCGCTTGGAGCTGTGGGTGTTATGCAAAGCAGGTCGGCTGGGCCTGCGCGGGCAGGCATCACCCCCAGTGGCAACAATCTGGGTGAGCACGCAGGCATGTGCACCGCCAGGCTTTGCTAGGCTTCAGTCCTGGCGGTGATGCCACTATGCTGATGACAGCCTGGGAGCAGGCAACAGGTATACGAATAGGGCTGGGCCCCTCGAACTTCCAGGGAGCTCATGCCGGCCGTCGTCAGCAACCCTGTCCGTGTGAGCTGACCCTCAGACTAGTGCACGATGGCCGGCTGCGCTCAGTGCCTGCTGAGAGGTGCAGTGCTGCCGTCAGCCTGATGCTGGATTTATTGCCATGCTGGTTACGGTTATGCCAGATAAAGCATTCATGCACATGCGTGCTGCCTGCCACAGGTTGCTCAGCGCGGACGCTCGGCCCAGTCTCCATGGCCTCGCCAACTGCGAGGCAACAGCTGGTGCGGGCGCTGCCTGGGCTCTTTGCTGACAAGGATCCCGAGTTTTGCGGAAGGGCGGCCCTCAAATCGCCCAGCTCCCCAACGTGGCTGCTGGTCTGTTGAACCTGCCGGAGGAGAACAGGAGGGCAGCCATCATGGCAGCTGTCCTTCGGGGTGGGCGGGGTATTTTGTGTTCCGATGACCCGGTGCGGCAATCGGGCAACGTGGTTACGCAATAAGACGCTATGAAGGTGCTCCAAGGCAATTGGGGGTGGTCGCTGCTGTGGCAGCCGCTCACATGGGCAGGGACGTATTCAGCACACGCCCAGCAGCAATTGGGGGCTTGCTTTCTATCTGGCGGGGCTTCCAGGGGCAGGATGGGGAGGATCAGATGTGTTTTGTGTGCAGCTGACATTCCAATCACCGACTGGCTGGCTTGGGCCACGGTTTCATGGGTTCGGCCACAGCAAGTATTGCTGCTCCGGGTGGAGTGGACAATGGACGGTGCTGACGTTGGGTGAAGGCTCAGCAGCACCTTGAAAAGCGTGGCTTGGCGACAATGCCGTGCGTACCGCATTGCGGATACAATTCTGCAGCAGGCACATGTGTTTTGTGCCTAGTTCTCCTCATCCCCATCACCTGGTCCGTGCTGACGTTGCCCACATGCTGCTCTCCATCCCTGCCCACCTTCATGCCCCTTTTGTGCATGTACTCTTTGTGGCTTCTAACTCGGGTTCTACTGTTGATTCGCAGCACCAGGTGAGATGCTACAGGAATTCGTGATGATGGATATGGCAAATATACCAACTGGAGTGGGTCTCATGCGCCTCATGTATGCGGTGTGCCTCACAACCTGCTCACTCCTGTTGCATGTGTTTATGCTGGACTCTGCGGTGGCGGCATGGCTGTCGCCCCATTGCCTCCGTTTCTTGCGGCTGCTCAGGTGCAGCAGCAGCAGGTGAGGCTTTGCGTGGGAATTCTGGCCCACAAGTAGATCTGTTCATGTTTGGCCTGGTGGGGCCCTCAAAAGCAGTAGTTGCTGGGTTGGTGAAAATTGCGGCTGCCCAGTGACAAGCAGCGTTTTGATGTTGCAGACCATTGTGCGTGCTGGCCATTGATCAAGGTCCTTCACCCTGTCCCTGCTCACATTGCTTTGACCAGGCGGCGATTTCGCGACGCAGTTTGAGGAGGCCGTGCTCAGCAAGCTGGAGGACATCAGCGTGCAGGTGCAGCGCAGTTGGGCACTGTCCCAGCTGCTTTTGTATGAGCGGCTGGGCCCTCGATCGTCATCATCTTCATCCAAAGCCTGCCGGGGTGATGACCGTGAGCAGGCGGTGACGTTCTACTTCGGGCTGGACCCCTGCGCCAAGCCTCAGCTGCGCTGCATGCTGCTCGAGGAGGATTTCCCCTACGAGAACATCACTGCAGCCCACATCTACCGGTTGGACTGGCCACGCAGCATCCGGGTGGGTTGGCAGGAGCTGCGATGTACTCACCCCAGCGTGGCCGCGTCAAGGCGTGCTTGTGCGCTTGGGACGTGCATTACGATTTCACGCATGCCGCTCAATGCCGTGGAGCAATTGCTGATATGGGTGCAAGCAGGAGGATAATGCAGTAGGTATGCTGCAATGGTAACTTGGCAGCGGTGTAGCAAATGGCTGTGGCGGTGTGCTAGCAACTGTTCTGGCATGACATCAGCACCCTGCCATCTGCTGTCACGTTATGTAACATAAGTTGCTGTTTGCCGCAGCGCCGCATGCGGCTTGAGATCAACGATCCTTGCAACGTGCTGCTGCTGGCGGGTGCTGCCGAGCGCCGGTTTCACCGCATGGAATGGACTTTGAAGCCGTTCGCCCCTAGCAGCTTCCTGGTGGATGGCGTGCAGCGTGTGATGCAGCCCTACAAGGTAACCCGGACAAGGTGCTGGCTGGGGCCTGGCCTTCACTTTATGTAATTTTCGCTTGTGTTTGGGGTTGCTTCTGTGTCTTCTCCCACCCTGCATGCTTACTTTGGTGCCAACAGCTGCAAACGTGCACGCTGCCCCTACTGCAACTGCTCGGCATTGCAGGTGCTAGTGCTCAACCCCAAGCTGCTAGTTGAAAACAGCAACAAGCAGCTGATTGCCGACGACCTGAGCAGCAAGGTGTGGGCTGATGTGGACGGCAAGCTGTTGCTTTTTGGCACTGGCGATGAGGAGCCAAAGCCATCCCGGCGAGCACGCGCGCTGCATGCCATGCTGGCACTGCAACATGCCCAGCAGGAGGGGTGGTTGGAGGCACCCCTCCGCAAATTTTTCTTGTCTGCAGCAGATTTTAGCGTGGATGAGGCTGCCTGGGCTTCACCCACTTTTGACACGGCTCGCATGGATGCCTTCCTGACCGATCCAGCATCTTTGCTCGCTGACAAGCGGCCGCTGCAGCCATAGAGCAACCTCATGGTTGGTCTTGACAGCTGTTAATCCATGTGGCACGTTTGAGCTCAAACATTGCAGTTGCGGCCTGTGGGGGACGTGCTGTGAAGCTGTGCGGCGTGTTGGCGCAGTGGCCGTACGGCATGCTGGAGAAAAGGGCAGCAGTGGCAAGCAATGTGGCTTTGGTGCATCGACAGTAGTGTGGCTTTGTGCATTACTGCAGCAAACTTGAAGTTGCAATGGCGATAAATACGGGTTGTCGTGGGCAAGCAGTCTCAGGCGTGTGGACCCTGCACAACCCTTCGCAATGCCTGGCAGCATGCAGCCGCACCCCCAGACTGCCGCCAATGCTTGCTGTGCCAGGCGTTGAAGGGAGGCTGTTGACCTCAATGGCCTCATGGTGGTCTGTGTTTGTGCCCAGGCTTCATGTCCTGTGGAATTGCAGAGGGGTTACCGCACAGTTGCTTGCATTGTGCCCAGGCTTTACAGTGCGGGACACACTTCACCATCAGCCTCATGAAGACCAGACAGCCTAAAATGGTTTGTGAAGCACGTCAAACTCTACTCTAGACGACCCAAGCTTTTAGGATTCCATAATACTTTATTTCATCCAAATTCAAAGAGCGACCAGCCAGGTGCACGCTGGGCACTCGATCGGCGCTGGTTTCACCGGCTTTGATCAATGACAATGAGCACTATTTATTATTCTGATATCATAGACGATGTACTGTGTGATTGTGATCACATCGATGATCTTCGTGATTTGTTGCATTGGTCATCCGGCGTTGAGCCTTTAGCATCATGCAGGATACATTCTACTATGTAGTATGGGCAGTCATCTCTCTGCCAATGACTGGCCTTGTATGGCGGGAGGTAGGTGTGTTGAGGAGATGAGGACGGTGTGCCGATGCGGTTGGGGGGCAGCGCAGTGCTACGAGGGTGCAATTCTCCTCGCCAATGTTCGCATGCGTCAATCACTGATAATGCATGTCGTCAATACCTTCGGGCGGTCTGCGCACCCCACAACATCTAGAATATTGCACCTGCCCAATCGAACCGCCCAAACGCCTGGCTCGGGCTGCAGTGCAGTGCCTCTGACCGCCCTCGTCCCCCCTCCCCACCCCACCCACCCAACCAATGGTCAAGGGTATCGCGGCACCAAGCGATGCCAGCCTGGCGGGGCGTGCGTTCCGCAACAATTATCTCTTCGTGTACAGCCTGCAGGTGCGCCGATTCAGGCGCGCCAGCGCACGTCATGTTGCCCAGTGGCCCGTCATCGTATGCTACGCGGCGGCGGTGCCGAAAGGATAGGATCTATCTGCACAGCAGCTCTCGCACGTGGGAGCTCTCCTTATCCCTCCGCCATGTTGATTGCCACCCCCTTCCTGCACCGCAGATGCGTGAGCTCTCCTCCACGCCATGCAGCTCTCCAGCCATTGCCACTGCCGTGGGGTTGGCCGCAGCTGCTGCCCGCGCACACCGCGGCCCCATGACCCCAGCATTGGGGCGCCCACTTTTGACCGCTGCCAGCACGGCGTGCTTTGGGCGTGTGCCTGCCTCCCAGCCCTGCAAAGCTTATACAATGATAAATCATGACCCTTCAATTGCCAACCTCAAAACCAAATTCTCCTCACACAATGGTGTTAGAACACCCTCCCCTTCAAGGCAACCCCGTCCGCGCCTCCCACCACTCCTTCATGCTCCCCAGTTGGTGACTGGCTGCAGGGTCCTTATGTGTACGCGCTCTATGAGCACTATGGCTACTCGCCTGCACAGATCGGGCAGCTCTTCATAACAGGGTTCGGCTCCTCCATGGTTTTCGGCACATTCATCGGCGCGCTCGCTGACAAAGCGTGAGTCTGATTCGGATATCTGGTTGGACGACCCACCATGTGGTGTGCCGATGCATGAGCGCACATGCCAGCACAACCCATCCTTGCACACACCTCCAAACACAACCATGCATGAACGCACACACACGCACACACACGCACACACACACACACACACACACACACACACACAAATTCTCTATACGGATGCAAATGTTTGCAGGGGCCGCAAAAAAGCCACCCTGGGCTACGTTGTGGCTTACTCCCTGAGCTGCCTCACAAAGCACTACCCAAACTTCCGGGTCCTCATGCTTGGCCGTGTGCTGGGCGGCGTGGCGACGTCGCTGCTGTTCTCTGCGTTTGAGAGCTGGCTGGTGGCGGAGCACTTCAAGCGCGGCTTCTCAGGTTGGGCTGCTATTGCGGCGAGCGGTGCAGCCCGCATGGCACGGGCTGCGACTGTGCTGGCGGTGCACAGGTTGCTGTCTGGGCTGACTGTGATGCTTCTGGGATGATTCACAGGACAAGAGGCTTGCACCAGCTGCACCTACACGTTGCATGTGCCACGTATTCCTGCTCTGCCCTGGGCACACGATTTGCCTGCACACACACACACACACACACACACACACACACACACACACACACACACACACACACACGTGTGCACGCACACACGCGCATGCATACATGCAATTCTCTCGCCGCGTGCCTCAGAGAAATCCCTGGGTCAGACGTTCTCGCAAGCCGTGTTCCTGGGCAACGGGCTGATGGCCATTCTGGCCGGGTTCCTGGGGGACTACCTAGTTGAAAAGATGGCCCTAGGCCGGTGAGTCAGGACGAATGCGCGTGCGCACCTGCTCCCTTGCGTGAGAGTTTGTGAATGTATGCCTTGGACAGGCAGACACCTTTGCTTGACAAAGAGCCGGACGGGCCCGGATTCGTCAGCAGGGGTCCTGCCTGACACAGACAGAAGGGGGCGAGGCGACATCAATGCGCTTTGCAGCTTGGCACGCCGATAGCATGCGTCCTGGAAGCACTCGGTGCGTGCCTGCTTTGAAGATATCTTGGCTCGACCCTGCTCTTGGCATCTCATGACTGGGTGCCAAGCGTAGGGTTGCACCCTTTGATGCGGCGATCGTCTTCATGGTAATGGGTGGTGTCGTCATAGCAGCCACTTGGCCGGAAAATTTCGGTGGCCGCGCCTCCATCAGCGTGCGGGCGCAATTTGAAGGGGCCTGGCGCGCCATAAGGTCAGGTGCGCGGTGCAGTCACTGTGGACGTGGCAGGACGCGGCTGCAGCATTGGCTATGTTTTATGATGGCCCAGGCTCGAGCTCGTCCCCCTCTCTTGGCCGTCATTCTTAAATGCCGAGTGCACATCCTCCTGCCAATTGAGGCTGCCACCCACCCAACTGTGGGTCAAAACCACGCCTGTGCCCATCGCCATTCGCTCGCCCCCCTTG